CCAGTGTCAGTGTACGTTGAACAATCAGTATGCATTGTAAATAGTGCAGGGGTGGCAGAGAGGGAGTCCTTGTGCTTGATAGCGTGTGAGTAGCAGATGACTTATTTATCACTTCTTCAGCGCGTGGTGTATTTTTGAATTAGAAAAAATGCAGCGTGAGTCACCGTCATCATTTCAGTAAAGGGACGTGAAAGGTTTTTATCTTCGGTGCACTTATAAACACTTTCAAGTGAGCAGGGTGTTAGGCGGCTGTCTGTTTGGGGCTGAAACACCATTAGAGGTGTGCTGCAAGGGCAGAATGGAAATCGGCGATGACTGAGCCTTCCCTGGGAAGGACACGGGGCACTAATCCCAGGAGCCCAAATCCCTAAGATGCTACCCCTCTCATAGGATGCGCTCCACCAAGATACCCGGTCCAGAAGATGGTCCCTGGGTAGGTACTCTTGGACATAGTGGGGTTGCAGGGATTCAAGAGCTGATCTATAGCAGAAAGCTCTGAATTCGTTGCTGCCATCGTTGAGGGAAAGGAGGGGAGTGTGAGCGGCCGTCGGCTCGCAACAGCTCACTGTGGCTGGACAGGGGAGGTTTCGGTACACGGGGTCTCTCCCGACCAAGCCCTTTTCTGCTGGTCTTGCACCATCTCTAGCACCTCCCTGGCCATCTGTGCGCTGCATTCGTTCACTGACCGTGCAGAAAAACTGGCCAAGAGGTGGGCTTGGGGGCATCTTAGTGAGGTGAATCAGCCCGCGAAGAGATGTAATGAGCATCGGGATCAGAGCGTGGCGATACACAGCTAGGAGTGAGGCGGGGAGCAGGGTACAAATTAGTCACATTTGTGCGGACTGTGATTGTTTTCCATTGCGCATCTTGTAAATGGCAATGGGAATTACTTTAAGAGCAAGAATAGTGATTATACACCCACTGTACGATTGCATTATTACTGATCTTTGTTGTTTAACTTTTAAAGTGAATCAAATACTCATGAAAATTGCTTTCAGTGAGTTTAGTGAAAACTAATCAATGTCTCACTTTTGCCAGGGAACAAAGGCATGTTGCTAAAAGCATAACCTTCCATCCAGAACAGTCTTAGCCTCACGCCAGTCAGTATTTCAGTCTCTGTATCTCCTGCTTGCCTCCTTACTTCATCTCTGTCATCTTTACTGAGCTGGACATGGCAGGTTCCCCATGGAGCGGTGCTGTTGCTGTTTGCTAGGGCTGGAGCACCTCTTCTATGAAGACAGGCTGAGAGAGTTGGGGTTGTTCAGCCTGGAGAAGAGAAGGCTCCGGGGAGACCTTATAGCAGCCTGCCAGTACCTAAGGGGGGGCTACAGGAAAGCTGGAGAGGGACTTTCTACAAGGGCAGGTAGTGAGAGGACAAGGGGTAACGGTTTTAAATTAAAAGAGGGTAGATTCAGACTGGATATAAGGAAGAAATTTTTTATGATGAGTGTGGTGAGGCACTGAGGGAACAGGTTGCCCAGAGAGGTTGTGGATGCCCCATCCCTGGCAGTGTTCAAGGTCAGGCTGGATGGGGCTTTGAGCAACCTGGTCTAGTGGAAGATGTCGCTGCCCATGGCAGGGGGGTTGGAATGAGATGATCTTTAAGGTCCCTTCCAACCCAAACCATTCTAGGGTTCTATGATTCTATGAAATGCTGAAATAGGACCCGGGACAACAGCACGTGTGTAAATGGAGCAGTGTGCCTCATCAGTGGGAAATAAAGTGGCAGCTGTCTGATGTCAGGTCTTTAACAGTTGTGTGAAGAAGCTAAGGATGTTTTTTGTTTAATTCAAGCGATGAATGTTTTCACCATGGGAGTGATGGTTCTGGACTCAAGTCATCCCAATGACCAGTCAGCTGTGTTACACACTCATCACTTAACAAACTCTAATGATTTCTTGTCTGTGCACAGTTTGCCAACTCCAGAGCAGTGGCTTTTTAAAAATTTGGTCCTTAATAGAGTAGAATAGACTATTTCAGTTGGAAGGGACCTATAACGATCATCTAGTCCAACTGCCTGACCTCTTCAGGGCTGACCAAAAGTTAAAGCGTGTTATCGAGGGCATTGTCCAAATGCCCCTTAAACACTGACAGGCTTGGGTCTTCGACCACCTCTCCAGGAAGCCTGTTCCGGTGTTTGACCACCCTCTCGCTACAGAAATGCTTCCTACTGTCCAGCCTAAACCTCCCCTGGTGCAGCTTTGAACCCTTTCCCGGTGTCCTGTCCCTGGATCCCAGGGAGAAGAGCTCAGCACCTCCCTCTCCATGTCCCCTCCTCGGGAAGCTGCAGAGCGCGATGCGGTCTCCCCTCAGCCTCCTTCTCTCCAAACTAGACAAGCCCAAAGTCCTCAGCTGCTCCTCAGAGGACATGCCTTCCAGCCCTGTCACCAGCTTGGTTGCCCTCCCCTCGACACATTCAGGGACCTTCACATCCTTCTTAAATGGTGGGGCCAGAACCACACACAGCACTCGAGGTGAGGCTGCACCAACGCTAAATACAGCGGGATCATCCCCTCTTTTGACTGGCTGGTCTTGCTGTGTTTGATGCACCCTAGGATGCTGTTCATGGATTTTTATGACCAGATTTATGATAATTTAGATTGGTCTGTCTGCTGTAAAACATAGGACACACGACCTCTTCATGAGTGTCCTCAGCTCGTCTAGCCCTTAGCTTCTCTGGGTACCGTAAGATACCTTGGAGAATAATAACAATGACAGTTAAAGTACTGAAGATCCTGGCAAATAGTACGTGATAATAAACATTCTGTTCCTTAATATTCCATTTGCTCTACAAAATTGGTGTTAAACTGCAGACAAGGGAATACCCTTTCCTTCTTGTCTCATTTCACTACTGACGTGCATTTCTGAATATTTTTAAACATAATGTTATGTAGTAGTTCTTTTCCAATTTTCAAGATTGCATCTGTTTTAAATGTAATTAAAATAACTGTTGTGAAATATGGGACAAGCAGAATTTATTCCAGCTTTGTATGCAGCTTGAAGTATGATGTTAAGCTCTGGAAAACAACCCTGAATATAAACAGCACTGAGCTTTGTACTACAGCCTGTTTTTAAGTCTTTGATATCTGACTTTCATACACCAGGGCTGACACGAGATGCCTTCCAAGGGCAATTACATGTGCGAGGAAAACTTTTACTGTGCCTTGAAAACAAATAAATTCAAAATGTCCTTTTTTGGACAAGCTGTCCTGCTGGGCTTATGCTCCTTTAGACACCCCTGGGTAAACAGAGGGTGTCGTTGTGGATGATAATTAGTGAAGGACTTTTATTTGTTTGTCTGAGCTCTGAATCTAAATTGTAATTGATGGATAGTTGTATCATTAATTAGATTGCTGAAATTGTGAAGGTGGGATGGCTACCAGCAAACTTCAGTGGTCATCATCAAAATGATGTCAAGACTGGTGTGTGTCTGTGTGTGTGTGTGTGTGTGTATATATATATATAAAAGCACTGGACTTTCTATTGTCAGATCTAGTGACCAATGACCTATATATATATATATATATATACACTCACATACACACATACCGTGAACCTTTTACCTGTACCATAGAAATCAGTGATATTCTGTATTTTTCTGTATTCTCTCCTCACTTTGTACTTTGAAAGCCGTGGTCACAATGTTGTTTTATCTATTTTTTTAAAATGTCAGTGAGGCAGAAGAAAAGGTTAAAGAGAGTTTTGTTATGGTAGATGATGTTCAAGAAAGAAACTGTATGGACAAGCTGACTTTTCTTCAGGGACCTTATTCATTTGTTCTCTTGGCCCTTGATACAGAAGTTTTCTGTGAGGAGGAGGCTACTCCTGAACAAGTACTGCACTGGGACTGATTGATACTTCAAATAACACAGACAAAAGTGATATTCTGAGCCTGTGTCACAGTCAGAGAATATAGGGTATGTAGGTGCTAATGAATAACTCCGTAATATAGAATTTTTTAGGGAAGCTTCAAATTTCTGGTATTACACAGAAGAAGCGCTAAAAAGCTATGCATAATTTCTTCGCACTTTACATGCAGTTTAATTCAGTAGTGTGTGTGTGCCGCTGCCGAAGAAAGTACATACATGCTCTTCTGGAAGAGCTTTCTTGAACAGGGTCACAGTGGGAACAGTAGAGCCAGAAAATCATACAATAGTAAAACAGCAAAAAAAGTGGAAATTATTTTAAGTCATAAAGGTTAAAAACACTTATTAGGTGTGCTTAAGTGGCATGACTTGACCTGTGTTGACAGGTTGATGTAGACGTGTTGTATTTTTGAAACGTGTCCAAGATCTGGAACAAATATGCAGAATTTTGGGTTGTCTTTTGTGATAAGCAAACAGCTTTAATGTGCTTCTGCAAAATCAGCAACATTTGCTATCTGTTTCTCAATTGCTACATTTTCCAAAACCAGCTGAAATTATTGACCTCTCATTCTTCCATTGAATGGGCACATGGAGTGTAATTTTTTTCTTCTTCTTAAGAAACGACCAAAGATGGGAAAGTCTCGGAGACCTGTGTACTTTAAACTATAGAATTTGGGATTTGTCACAATAAAAGACTTATGTGACCTGACTGTAACTGCTCGATACACTTTCTATTAATTGCCCTGTGTCCTGCGTGCAGCTAAGGGTTTTCTGTTGGCGATGTCAGGACACGTTGAGGCTGAGGCCGCTGGATGCTGATTTCTCGGCATACCAAGCAGGACTGAGGAGAGCTGGAGTCTGAGGGAGCTGTGAATACAGCAGTATGCATTCCTCTGGATACTCTGCCATCTTTTCTTAGCAGGAAAAGAGGATTTGAAATTCCCTCTGCCTTTGGGCTTCTGGCTTGGGAGCTTGAAGAGATCAGTAACTGGTTTGAAATGTATCCTGCTTGACAGGCTTGAAACCCCTTTTCCAGGCTGTCCCACTGCTAGAGCTCTTTAAGATTTTTCTTAAGGATTAACTCCTCTTTCCTTCTGTTTTTGGTTTTTTTTTTTTTCCTGTGTTTTTTGGCAGTTGCAAGACAAAAGTCTACCCTGACGAACTCCCCAACACAAGTGTAGTTATTGTGTTTCACAATGAAGCGTGGAGTACTCTGCTTCGGACCGTGTACAGCGTTATAAATCGCTCACCGCACCGCCTGCTTTCAGAAATCATCCTGGTGGATGATGCCAGTGAGAGAGGTAGGTTTTGGGAGAGAGGAGCCCCATTCCACGTGTTGTTTTAGCGTCATGTTTGAGGACCTAGCAGAAGGGGTTGTGAAGAGCGGCTCCCTTTTGTCGGTGCTGAACCGGACCCGCATCTCTCGCCAAGCATCTCCCACCGCTGCTGGGGCCAGCAGCAAACGGACTCTAGTAGGTGTGGGCAGAGCCGAAGTATCCTTACAGGTAGTAACAGAGGCGAAGGTTGTTTATCAGGTTGTAAGTCGTACGTACGGTGCTCCCATCCCAAATTTCATGAGTGCTTTTTTTGCACTGTGGCTTATCATTTCATATTACTGTACAAGACTGTCCTTTTTCACATCTCTCTCTGTCTCTCTCTTGCTGTCTCTCACCCCCGTCCCGTTCTGTGTCTCAGACTTTCCTGAATATCCACACTGAGCCAATTTCCTTGTATTTCTTGTATTTGTGGTTAATTTCTTTTGGTCTTGGCTTTTTTTCTTCCTTTTTTTTTTTTTTTTTTTTAATTTAAAACCTAGGGTTTAGGAAGAAAACTGTCTGTATGCGGAACTGATATTACCTGGAAAAGGAATCACATTACATTCTATAAATGGAATCAATGGAATGATAAATTTTCCTGCAGTAGCCAAATGTATATAATGGCAAATACAACACATAGCTGCAACTGTTCAAGGGACAGAGGATGCAAGCTAAGCCGTCCTTTATCTCTGCCCCATGTAGCATTAATTTAAGTCTAATTACTCTCTTGGATTTCTCTGCTTCAGAAAATGAGTAGGCTTACTGTTTCTCTGTGCCAGAAGGTAGAGGAAGACTTTAGCCCAAGTAACTACAATTTTTCCTAAAAGCAAAGTTTTGGATTCCTAAAGGGCTCAAATGGTGAAATTCATCAAAAATAGATGGATTTGTATTTAACCATAGACAAATTAGCAAAAGTGTAATCATTTTGCACTCACTATTGCTTGCTGGCTTATTTCAAGAAAACTGATCATGACTTATTTAAAATTTCTGTGATATTTTCATGAGATGCTCTGGCAGATGCGTGCATATGTACGGGCTGTTTTCTGTGCGGCTGCACTGAACAGAGTGCCAGTGTGAACCTCCATAGCTCAGCTCTCAGTCTTCAGAAAAACACTAAATATGTCAAAATGCGTTTCCCGTGTTATGGCAGCAATCGTGCATGGCAGTCCTTGGAGGGCCGAGCATGACGCATAAGCTCTGCGGTTATATTTGGAGTCCTTGGTAGTTGCTGAACCTAGCTAAAATAATGTTTTGCTTCTGGTTTTTTTTTGTTGTGTTTTTTTTTTTCCCCCAATTATCTTTGGCAGAGTTTCTGAAGGCCTCGTTAGAGAATTATGTGAAAAACCTGGAAGTCTCCATAAAAATCATTCGGATGGAGCAGAGGTCAGGACTGATCCGCGCGCGGCTCCGAGGGGCAGCAGCCTCTAAAGGGCAGGTGATAACATTCCTGGACGCACACTGTGAGTGCACCCTGGGCTGGCTCGAGCCGCTGCTGGCCAGGATAAAGGAGGACAGGTAAGGGTGGCTCTCCTGACCCCAGGGGCACGGACCTGCCTCCAGGCCATTCCTTGGTTTCACTGTGCTGCTAAAAAATAGAAATGAAAACAATTCATTGGTCTGAAAATGAAGATTTGTGGGTTTGGGTTGTTTGTTTTTTTTTTTTAATATATCAGGAGGGTATTCTCTAATATTTGTATCAAAATCTAATTTCTAAATAAGTATACAATAAGCTTTTGGTTCTTACAGCAGGATTTCTGTTGCTGACAGTAAGACTAATAATGCCAGTAATGACAGCAACTTGTGCCATTTACTTTGACAAGGTCTGGGTGTCCCCCACCCTGATGGCCATCTTTCTCCCTTTTTTTTTTTCACCAGGCACAGCTTCTTGTCTGTGTGACTTCCAATATGCTCTGAAATTTGCACTCTTTTTTTTCCTCTCTTCTTTTTTTCCTTTTTTTTTTTCTTTTGCGTTAGGTGATGCAATCAATTTTCCCTTTTTTTTGCGCCTAAGTGCATAAAGGCCCTGCGAGTGAGACCCCCAAACTATGCTGTCCTCCCTGGAAGGGTTGCAGCAGCCGAGGTCCTTGCTCTGCTCGATGGAGGAGCAGCCGCACATGCGTGGGCAGCAGCAGCCTGCCTAAGTGCACACATGGGAGATGGGATTTGTTCTCATTTATGAAACGCCTTGCAGGTTCTCCACGAGACATGCATGCACACGTGATAAAATCAGCACTGCTCGAGCCCCGCAGCCACAAGCAAAAATAGTCTCTGTTGTGTTTGTCCTGACAGTCTCGGAAAGGTGTGCAGGAAAACTCTGTGTCATGTAAAGAACAAGGAGGAGAATTTATCGATACAGTGTAGTTTGTGCTGCTGGGGTGAAGCGTGCGGCAGTCGCTCCTGTCGTTCAGAGAGGATTTGGCGGCGGAGCGGGAGTCCCGGGCAGGGTTGGGTGTTGGCAGCTTTCAGCTCTTGGGAGCTCAGCGAGGAGTCAAGTGTGTCCAAAAAGCTGCGGACAGCAGAAAAGGGGAATTTTGCACAGCCTCGTTCCTGGGAGAGAAAACCTGCATGGAGCAGTGGTAAATGCAGAGAAGCCTCAAAATAGGTGCAATATTCAGCATACTAACATGAAAAAATATTTTGTTTAAAAAAAGCCAATTTTTTTCTTACAGGAAAACTGTTGTCTGCCCAATCATTGATGTGATCAGCGATGACACATTTGAATACATGGCTGGATCTGATATGACTTATGGAGGGTTTAACTGGAAACTTAACTTTCGCTGGTATCCGGTTCCCCAGAGAGAGATGGACAGGAGGAAAGGAGACAGGACCTTGCCTGTAAGGTAAGGAGAGCAAATCAAGAGTACTATGCTAATTGACTCTACTGTGTACTTGTTTATGTAGATAATAATGCTTAATACCTAAGATTTCACTGCCGTATCAGAGAACGCATGTCAGATGCTTTTGGCACCACTGTTCAGGGTAGAGAAGACCAAAATCTGACCTGTCCTTAATGGTGCGGTGTAGTTATCAGAGCTGAGAAAACTCATTTGTATCTTCTTTTCAACATTCAGTAATTCAAAATATACCTGCTTTTTAAGTTTCCTCTGTTTGTTTTCTGCAAATAGCCTGTTGACCTTGTGTTTACAGATGTTACTGCGTTGTTTCATATTTAAGGCAAATATTAGAACATATTTCTGAAATACACATTTTTGGACATTGAACCCAAGTATTTGGTTATGACGATTTGCACTTGAAATGCGTGCTTTTATTGCCTAGAAAATAAAGTTGATGACTGTGCACACTGAGTCAAAAATGATCTAAGAGTATGTCCTGAATTCCCGTGATCATTCCTGACCTCTTTCATTTAATTGCTCAAACCACGGACTGTAACAAAACCTCTAGAAAAATTTTAAATGAAGCTGAAACAGAACAAATTGAATAAATTACTTGCAATGGGTTATTTGCTCAGCTCTAATAGCTTCTGTGGTCTTCATGAAAAGTTTAAAAAAAAAAAGCAAAAAAAAAAAAGCTTTCACAAGTGGATGTAATGGTTTCAAACTTGTCTGAGAGACATGATGAAGTGGACAGAATTCCAGTCCTGCATACCCCTGATTGTGCGCAACAGGCAGATAAAGGGAGAGCCAACTCAGGGACAGCAGTCACAGCGCAGCTTTGCAAAACACTTCCAGGTAAGGCAGGGGATGGGCAAAGAAAAGCCTTTCAGAATTACCTTTGCCAGAAAGTGGCCAAAATCGGTCTTTTTTTGTCCTTCAAAGCCTGGAGTCAGGGAAGGGCTGGGTTTTTTAGATTTTATTCTCAGGAAATGATCTTAGGAAAAGCAAACAGGGTCCTCAGGAGCAGGAGCTGACCCTGGCATTAGCAGAAGGGGGATGAAGCTATTTTTGAGTCAAGAGAACTGTTTTTTCTCATCATCTCAAATATTATCACTCAGCTGTGAAGTCTGCCAGCAGCTATTTCATTAAAGCTGAGGTGTACCTTAAAATTGGTAGAGTTAATTATCCTAACGAGCTGCAGAGCCTCACGCCGCGCTGGCCGCTGCTCCCACCGTGTCAGTCACTGGGCTGGGTTTGTCCTGTCTCTCCCGTGCCGAATCAATTCACAGACACAGGGAGTTTTCAAAGAAACACAAATCCCAGTTCTTAGTTCCTTATCTTGAAATGCAGTAGTACTTAAAAGTTAATCCAGAATCAGACATGTAATTGACTCTTAAAATTATTAAAACAAAAAAAAATAGGGTTTTTTTCTTTTTTCCCCCCAACAGCTTTTAGCTGGTGATTGCCTGGGCTTTTTGGGATTCGCCTGGTAAGGTGGGTGTTAGTGAGCAGAGCATGGGTGAAGGAGTCGGAGGTTAATGCCAAGTGTCCCATAATTATCACTTACACAAGTGCTTTAGAGTGAAGAGGTGGCTCTGAGGGTGTGTAATTGTGCTGGCTTAAGACTAAAGTGTCAGCTTTTAGACATATAGGTGCCCTTTCTGACCACATAGTGGAGGCATTTCAGTCTCTTTGGTGTCCGAAGAAGGTGCTGCCTGTTTCATTTTCCCTTTTACCCAGTGGGAGGGGAACCAGCAAAGCAATGAGCTGTGGAACTGCCCGGTTAGAACGGCCTTCCTGTAAGAAACGCCATTTAATAAGTCATCAGCTGCTTTCAGTGCTAGCTGGTATTTCCAGATGCTTATCAAAAGCAGTCCAAGAGACCGCAGCAGTAAATCAGGCCTGAGCTGTCAGAAACACAATCACAAATTCTGCATCCAAAGAGCGAAAGTATAATATTGCAGCTAAGTTAAGAATGGTTTTGGCAGCTGCTGCCACCTGAATATTCAAAAAATGGGGGGATAAAAATAAACAAAAGCCTAACCCATACCAAAAACTTAGAAACAAATTGGCGAGTTAATTTTCTTATTCCATGTTGCTTTCCCCATTCTGTAACATTTTTTCAGTCTCACGTAGATTGAATATGTCTTTATTCATACTTTTTCTTTGTAATCTGTGGAATAGGTATAGAATACAAACATCATTGGATTACATGTTTGTGTGCACGTATGTGTAATATAACCATTGCACTCAAATTCTGCTTTTTGTTATGTTAAAAATCCGTGGAATTGACAAAAGTTTTACTCAAAATATTTATCTTCCATAATAACATCAATAAATTCCTACCTTTGCTTTTTAGATTTAAAAGCATAATGCATACATTTTCAAACTATGAATTAGTTTATATCCAACTTATTATTTATGTATAATTTGTATTATTGTATAAGTATTTTTTTGGAAAAGATCAGGATAGCTTACTGATAAGAGCTTGCTAGTGGGTACAAACAAAGTTCAGCCATCACATGCGCTGTGACCATTAACCCCAATGAAATTAAAGACAGAAGGTGCTGTACTCTCAGAAGAGGGTGCCTGATTCTTTCTGGTTTGTAGATGTGAAATGTTGCTTGCTTGTTTGCCTAGGGAGTGAAAGGAAATGTTAAATTCCTGAGTTGGGCATTTGAGTCAACTGAAATATCTGCCTTTGCTGGAATCTCTAGATTTAGTGGGAAAAGGTTAATTAATTCAGTGACTGATATTAAAAACCCACAGCTAATTGTCATGCAGTACAGCTGTAAAAGAGTTTTCTTACCGACATCCATTAGAAAAGTTAGCTTGTTTGTCATATTTTTGCAAACAGAACAATGGGGGTTCAGAGGTGCCTCTCGCACTAATTAGTGATGCCCTGTCCTGGACAGATCGGGTTCTGAGATCCCTACGTGGATGCTATTCCTGCTCTTCACACACTAATCCCTACCGTTTTTGCCCCTTATTTTCTTCTTCTGCTTCTTAAACCCCAGTCTGACGTCCCTTCTCTTGTTCTCATTTTCTTGATCCCTTACCTAGTTTTCTCTCAGGTCAGCTAACACTATGATAACATAACCTTTCCCAGAATAGTCTAAAATCGTAACTCTTCCCCAAAGAATCACAGGTTTTGCAAATGTAGCGAAAGCCTTTCCAGTTTGCCAGTGCTCCCAGATTGAAGGTGGTAGATGAAGGTGGGCAGCACTAATGATGGGCAGTCATCCTGGGCACTGGGCAGCACGTCGTGCCACCTGCCCCGACCCCCTCTCAGTACTCCCCATCCTGGGGGAAGGAGTGAGTGGTCATCCCATACTGGGATTTCCTGGGGTTTCGGGTTTTGGGTTTTTTTTTTTTTGTTTGTTTGTTTGTTTTTAAAATGTACTTACAATTTTTTTACACGTAAAATGACCAGAAGCAAAAGTAACATCAGGGAGCTTTCAGTTCATCAGGCGTCTTTGTTAGGACTGAAACTATAAAGTGAGGACAGGAAGGGGACATTTAGAAGAAATCCCTGAAGGAAAGATTGTTCCTGGAGACAGAGCTAGTCAAGTCAAATATTTCATTCTCTGAGGTTTGCTAGAATCAGTTGAAACATATTTTTTCAGGTGTATTTGCAGAAATCAAATATGAACTGTGGCTTGAGTGCAAATGTTACCTGAGCCACGGAGGGGCTTCCAGGTGTTGCTTTAGGGGTGCGTTCCTTACTGTGAAGGTACAGCAACCCCCAAGGACTCGTGTCAGTGGGTATATAGCTATTTTCTTTTATTTGAACAGCAAAGGCTATTCATTGCTGTTCTGATGCACCTCAGGATTTTACCTTATTTCCCTGTGAAGTAAATGCTGTAACTTCTGCTGTCACTGGAGTAACCTCTGGCTTTGTAAACTTTGTAAGTGATCAGACCTTGTCAAAATATGTTATTCCAAGTACAAAGCCTGTTTCAGTTTCCAGAGGGCTCTCTGGGAGCAAAACCTGGATGGTTTCCCCATGCAGAGGTGGAGCTTAAAGCCAAAGCTTCCTGCAGATGATCCGGTGGATGTGGGTAGATCTGGGATTTATGAAAACGGAGATCTCTAGGCAGTGTAATTATCAAGTGTGAGCTGTTTCGGTGGTGAATGTTCATGGGCAGTGCCAGCTAAAGCCAACAGTCTTGCTAAACCTTTCTTTTTTCTTTTTCCACTGAAAAATCCTTGCACAATATTTGTACTTTGCAGGACATCCTTTGTCTTTTAAGTGAGCTCATTTCTCCTTCTGCAGTTTTGCCTGTGGCAATAGAAAACTTGTCTATGCCAAGATCAGTTTACAAATATCTCGTCTTCTTACATCTACGGTATTAAAAACGTGAAGTGTTTCTGTGCTGGGCAGTCTCTGCACAGCACATTTCGATGGATATTTCTATACTTGCCCTTAATTTTTTAAGCTGAAGACACTCCAGGCTAGTATTATAAATACTAAAAAATATTTTTGTTCCAGAAAATCTCTTCTCAAGTATAAATTAGTTATTGAGAGGAAAAATACAAGGTCAAATATTAGGAGCATTTTTTATTTATCTTCTTATGGCTGATTAAACTTAGAGCTGACTACAATTAAGGCTGCCTGGGTGATGGACAGCAGTATTGGAAACTGGTGTAAAAACCTTATTCTAAGCTATATAAATAGCAGTCTTGTTCATTAGCGATGTTACCGTTGCGACTGTTGGACCCCTTTGAGCGGATGCACAGGATGGGGAGCTTGAAGGCCGCGGGGTGAGGTGACATTACGTGGCTTTGGGATGCTCCCAGCCTGGGGGACCTGACCTGAGCATCCCCGGCCATGGCAGGAGCTGGAGTCCCCTTGGGAGCGGCTCCGTGACAGTCCCTCCTCGTTTTCCCTGCCCGGCACAGCGTGCTGGGCTGGGTTAGTGGGATCGGTGGGATGCAGCAAACCTGGTGTTACTGCGGTACCTTTATGCTGTGCAGCTCCTCTTAGGGGATGTCAAAGGTGCAGGTACGGGAATGGGAATCCTGATTGCTGCTAATAATTGCAGAAATGAGGAGGAGACGTTACCTCCAAAATAAAATTAAAAGTGGGTTTGAATGATGATTAGAGTTAATCATAACATATTACTGAAGCTGTTAGTGTGACTCCAAGTAGGCAAAATATAGCTAATAGGTGCAAAGCTGAACAAAAACTGTAGGCACCCTTACTCTTTCTAATATTACTGTTTCAGCTGTTTTTACAATGAGAGCTCTGCAGGTCTGTTTGTGTAACAAATTTACATAACAGAACAGTCCTGCCTGCTGCGTTTCAATTATTTGAGAATCTGTGGCATATATTGGTGCATAGTTACCTACATTTTACAGCATGAAACTCAGCACTTCCAGTTTCAGTTAGTGAGTTATTAGGGAAACTGTTTGGTTTTTGTAAACATTTGCTGATGACATTTCAGAAGAATCCAGATCTGTGTGTACGGTTCAGCTGCATCGTTCAAAAAATTGGGTAAGACTGAATCTTTGCAAAAATGGGAAATTTCGTACCATTCAAGCAAAGACTGTCTTCCTCCAGGGGAAGAAATGGAGGAAGAAAAGGAGGAAGAAGAAGGAGGGGAGGCAGAGGATGAGTGTTTCTGGTGCAGACAGAGGAGTGGGGATGATTTTATTCATCGGACAGCAGTGGCACTCCTCGCTTCAGTAAGGTTAGTGGGGATGGGAGATCAGTGCAGGAGGGAGCTGGGCACAGGCTCATCACAACGTTTGTGAATCGCCGTGAGTCCTATGGGAACTTGGCCGATCGTCAGGTAGGCGAGTAAACCAAGTACTGACACGGCTCTTGGTACCAGGGTAAATAGTTTTGCGTAGACTTATGGAGTTCGTAGGTAATCAATAATAGAAGTTTCTTTAAAATAAATTTTCTTGTATTGGTAATCATCTGGCACAAAACCAGTTCAATTAAAAAGATTTCAGACTCAGCTTTATTTTGTGCTCCCCGTACTAGAAGGCATTTAACTTTGACGAAGGCAGGCAGGTGGAGGGTCACACCGCCCGGCCGTTCCCGTCCGCTCCGCTTGCTTGCAGTGTAGCGCAGGGTCGCTCGGGGGGCCAGCAGTGTTGTTTGTGGCAGAAACCCAGCCAGGCTGAGGGCAGTAAAGCGGCTTTGAAACCTGGGAAGGTTTAGCTCTGTCCAAATGACAAGCAGTTAATTAACTGAGCTTTCTGTGCTGCGAGCACAGGGAGATGAACAGAAATGAAGTGTTGGTAAACTCAGGGTCCAGTGTTATTTCATTGCTAAACTGCTTTTTTTTTTTCTGGGAGTAACGATAGTCAGCTCTGGCAGAAGAGGAAATAATTGCACAGCAGGCGAATTACCTGGCTTTGCTGAGCTTGAGAGTGAGTGAGGACTCCTTACTGCCAGGGCTGTGTCCAGTGCCACCACTGGGAAAAGCACAGCACCATCCCAGTGGGTCTGGGTGTCTGCACTCCGTGTGTGTGTGTGACACCCACACTAACCCATATTGGAACACTGGGATGCTGTGTGCAAATAGGGGGGTGCTTTAGCGAATTCATGTTGTGTGTAGGACGTACGAAAGCTTCCGAAGGAAGATCTGAGAAGTGCCCAAGTGATTCAGGTTCTGCCAGGGGCAGGAGCGCCGGTGAAGCCCCTCTTCCAGCTTTTTCCTGCATTGCACGTGAACAGTTTTGTTCCCGTTGACTTGCATTTTGGAAAAATTGTAGGAGCTTGCTTTATATCATCGGTGTTTGTGTAAGGCGGTCTCCAAACACAGGAGCTCTCACAGAAACTGAGCTTTAGATGGGCAGAAGTGCTGGTGCTGGAAATGCTGCACTTGCACAGATTCAGTCGCCTCATCTGACCACTGAATATCGGATATTCCTAGCAGTCATTGCAAGCAGTTTACTAAATACCTGAATGAATGAGTTCATTTGTGTGGCCGAATCGTTTGCAGGCAGGCCGTAGTTACCGGCGTGTTTGCGTGCGGTTGTACGCATGTGCGTTGAGCCAGCATTAGGTCACGCATTTTCAAAATCCAGTCTTGCCCACTTTGCAGTTGGGTTTTTTTGGTTTTTTTTTTGAAGCCGAGGGACAGAAAACAACTGCTACCTGACCGGCAAGGCTTGATCCACAGCTACATTAACGTGCCCGGCGGTCCTCACCGGCAAAGCCCGTTGGCATGGGGATGCCGAGACCTCAGCAGACCCCTTCCACCAAACCCCGTCCGTCGCTGGCCGTGGGTGCCGTCACCCCGCGTTGTGCCGGAGCTCTGCCGACGGGGGGATGCCGAGGTGCAGCTCCTGCGGCAGCGTCCGCAGGGACGGACGCCGTTGGGCTCAAACCCCGGGTTTTTGGGGCAACCCCTTTAGCTGTGTGCTCCCGTCAGGGTGTGTGTGTGTGTATGTGGTGAGAGAGCTGTGGTTCGGTGGGGACGCGTTGGTGCGGTAACCCAGAGCCGTGTTCCCGCTAACTGGGGTGAGCTTTTTTCATTTTAGACAGACTTCAAACGCTGAAAAACATAGAGCAGGTACTTATGGGGAAATAGGACATCTTTACACAAAGAGAAGTTGCACTCTGACTGGATTTGCCTGTTGTAAGGATTTATAATCCTGTTAAGAGAGATTATGCCTGGTAATTTTATGCACATTTAGTCTCCCTCTAAGGCAAAGCTGAGGCATTAAACTCTCTTCGCTAAGCATCTCAGATTGGATTTGAACTGCTGTTCTGGATGCAGAAGGCCAAAATTCCATCCACTTTACCATTACAATGCTCCTGAAATAATCTATGGAAATATGATTTTGCGGGTAGGAAGCGATCCCGCAGCTCTGACTCGGGCAGCGCTCTCATCGGCTTCGGGGGGAGCTCTGCCCGAAGGGCAACCGCACAGAGTGTGCAGTTGAAACCGTGTTGTTATTGTTAGTAGTTTATATTTAAGTTGCTGTACATAGAATATATTTATAGTCAAAATGTCTGAGGTAGTGAAATGTACTGTAGTGTCAATTAATAAATTCCACAGTGTCTTTCAAAAGGTATTTTTTCTTTTCTTTTCTTTTTCCTCTTTTTTTTTTTTTCTTTTTTTCTGTTTGTTTTCAACTAGGACCCCTACTATGGCTGGTGGCCTATTTTCTATTGACAGAAACTACTTTGAAGAGATAGGAACTTACGATGCAGGAATGGATATCTGGGGTGGCGAGAATCTTGAAATGTCTTTTAGGGTAATTGCCGTTTTCCTTCATTTTCTGTCAACAAACACAGTTGTGCTGTAACCGTTCCTACACTGCAGACAGGGTGCTTCTGCTTTAGCTGTCATGCAAGTCATGGGTTAATTTAAATTCTCAAGATATTTGGGGATGCCTCATTATAGTATTTTGGTCCTTTTACTGCATGAAACATTTTATTACTGTTTGGAATTTTTGACACTTTCAAAATAATATGTATTTTAGTAATACCTTTCTTTATAAAAGAAATGAGGCTTTCTGTGAGCTAGTGCAAATGCTAACTGACATAAACAAGATATAAACTTGTGTAGTGAAAAAAAAAATAAATTCAAGTATATGTTTTAACAGAAATATTTGAAAGTGCATGTCATCATGAACTTGCAAGTTCTCGCTGCCATTTTTACTCTGTGCGAGAGCCGAGCTCGTGGAGAAATTTCACGTCCCGCAGAAAAGTGACTTTATTTCTGCTGAGGATAAATATGTTGCCCATGACAAGACTAAAATCCCTTTGAGTGAAATGCATTTAGTAGTTGTCCTTTAGACATAAAGGAAAATTGGAAAATTGAGTCTTTGATAAGTAACTGTTAGAAAGGATGTTGAAAATTACTTTGAACATCTCCGCTGTACCACAGTTTGTGCATTTTAAGTAAGCATGCAAAACAAACCCCGGTGTCCCTGTCTAGTACCCATAGGACATGATGGGGATATCGTTCTTTCTTTTTTTTTTTTTTTCTTTTGTCTTCAGCCAGGGCTGGTAGGCTATTTTCTATTGACAGAAACTACTTTGAAGATTTTCGTAAAGCAAGTATTTCTAGAGAAGATGAACTGAGAATTTGAAAGCATTTTCAGGCCATTTTCTATAAACTATAATCATTCCCTTTTCAGTAAAATAGAAGTGTAGAGTTACTTCTTCTGACCATTAATGTTTTATATCGGTGGACTTCAACATTTTTTGGTGTATAGACCCCTAAGAATATTCCTTGGATATATGTAGGCCCCTGTGTCGGAGCTTATTTTTAACTTAAGCCTGTTAGTAGGCTTGTTTTTCATGTTGTTAGAAGTGATCCGTGGAGCAGAGAGTGACTAGCACTGCTTTAAAGAGTTAAATATGTGCCTCTTGTAGACTAATCTGCATGTTACTACTGTTCATTTTTCACCGAGTATCAGAGTGTGTGACTTCTGTAAACTGACATTCGCCCAGTTCATTGAAATTTTAAGATCAGAATTGCTGATGCACATTAAACCCTGACAGAGGGAACCTCAAAGCCGTTTGTTATTGCTGGCATTTATCGCTTACAGAAAACCTTCTGCAGGACCAATTTTGGGTGATAACTGTGGAAAGGTCCCATTCTCCTTAGTGAAGAGTCTAAAATATTTAACTCTCCTTTTGGAAAAACACTGGGTTTTCATCATAAAAATGATAATCCCTGAAAAACCAACTCTAATACAAAGGGACAAACAAGGCAATTTTTGTTAAGAGTCCGTACTGGAGAATATATGGAAGTTGATTCTCCGTGGGCTCCTTTTGGCAGTGGCTATTTTTGTTACCAAAGATACAAATAGCGATCATTTTTCTGTCAGGCCTTGTAAGCACAACAGAATAAAATAATGTACAATTCCATGGCCTTTTCCTGCTCCCTGGCATAATAGATTCATTTTGGCAGAAAGCATTTGATCTTCTGCTGAGAGCAGCATGTGAGTGTGTATTCAGCTTCCAGCATATGCTAAAGAAATGCCCTAACTAGGATATTCTTAATGCATACTCTTGCTCGAATAATGCTAATATATTTTGAAAAGCTTTCCTGAGGAGTTTAGCAATTTAATGGTGGTGTTCTGTCTTCATCTTGTGCTGTTCTGCTCTGGCTCCTGGCAGCTGCGTGGGAAACCTGTTGGGATTCGTGGCGTGAGTCAGCCAGCTCCTGGTCGGGATGATTTGGCGTTTGCAGTCATGTGTAGTGCAGGTTGAGCTGATACCTCTGCCTTTGGTACAATTTCTGTGGTTCTGCTTCCTGGGCACTTCTATAATTTATATAACACATATATATAATAGTACTTGGAGGGTTTGTTTTTCTCCCCCCCCTTCCCTAAATAATCATTCCTTGAGTCCTGTTTCAAATTGGACTTAAATTCTATTCAGTGCTTATATGAGTAAGCCAGCAATGGGCTTAGTTTGTGTAAATTTTGTGAGAATACTGTCATGAGATCTTCATTTCAGCTTTAAATTAAAAATCTCAGTCCAAAATATGTGGAAAGACGAAGACCAATGATAGCCGTGCTCTCCGCAGAAAGCCCCAGTGATAGAAGCAGGGAAGCAGCTCTGCCATTATTCTTCTTTTACTCGTTAAGACCGAGGTGGGGGGAGTGGGAGAGGAAGCACATGAATTTTGGGGCATCGTATTAGAGAACATTATTTTATGTCTTCAGAAGATTTTCCCACTTAAACTTCAAGAAACATTACCAGCGTGCATCAGCCTAATAAGAGGGCATGGTGTCAAGAATAGAAATAAAATCATGTGCTTCTAGCACTGGCAGATTACCATGGAAATGCCAGGCAGCCACACGATGCGATTTCTTGGTATTTAGAGCCTTCGCCTGTAAAGAAAACCAACCAAATAGTCAAGTACATCAAGTACAACTGGATCAATAAAAGGCCTCTGCATTGAAAAACCTATCTGATGTAAAACACCTGCAGAAAATGGGTAGCAAAGAGTGCCAAGGGGCTGGGCATGTTCCTCCAGCAGCCGCTTTACAAACCTGCAATTACCCAGCAGGTTTCCGGAATATCTCATTGCAGTCAGGAAAACACCGGGACTAAATCTTGGTTTGGAAAATTACTATGATAGGAGTCAGCCATGAGGACATTTCTAGAGCTCTTATTACATTGGATGTTTTTATCATCAAATGAAAGGGGGTTCATTTGGGTGTTGGTTCGGTATTCAGAAAACAAACCCCCAAATCCCCATCTTGATAATCCCTGCATCCTCAAAAAAATGTTATAAATGCCTTTGCCTCCCCTGGCTAATGTCTGCGACCGTCTCATCTGTAACCAGCGGCAGCAGTGGCACTATCCCCAACATAATGATTAAAAGGATTTGCGGTATTTTTGCTCTCAAAAAGAGGCAGACAGGCATTTCTCGGCTGGACGCGGTGCCTCGGGGAGGGCTCAGGAGCAGCATCCGCAGCGGGGTCCCGCATCTCCCTGCTGCCTGGCCGGGCAGCGCCGGAGCCGAGTGCCAGATCCCGGACTAACGACACGTAATCAAAGTAGGTCTGTCCTGTCGGGGCAGCCGCTCCGTTCCTGGAAAACACCGCATGTGAGCGTGGTGATGTACAATTTCCTTATTGCTGGGTAAATCGATATTTCCTCTTTTCGCTGTGCTGCTGCTCATTGCTGAACGGTCTTTAATGATGCCTTTTGGAGGATGCTTTTTAATAATGGTAATTGGGGAAAAAAACCCAAAACAACAAAATCCTGGCAGGAGTCTCTTACAGCTGTAGGAGTCACTTTAGTAAATGAAAACCTCATTTATTCTTCAAAACTTACTCTATTTTTATTTATAGAATTCCTGAAACATTTTTAATTTTCTATTAAATGCTGTAAGTGGTTTTTTCCCAGTCGGAGAATGCCCTGAAAACTTGATAGTCAGAAAGGAGCTCATATAGCTTTGGAAAGGGTATTAAAAATAATCTGCCCATCAGAAAAAAAAAAGATTATTCTTTAGAATAATCCAAGTAGGCCAAAGCAAGGCTAGAGAAAGCAAATGCGTACTCTAGTAGGAATAAGATGCTGTTTACTTTTGGTTTTCTGGCAGCTGTTGGAAGTGCAGAAGAGGGTATGCAGATGTTTCCACGTGTATTCCCTAAGCAGTGTGATATAGTTATATGTTGTTCTTGGTCTCTGAAATTTCCGTTTTGACTGTTGTAGGAATTCTTACACTAAATGAATACGGAGCAAGGATGTTTAATCCACTTGTAGCTTAGCGTGGTATCCGAGCTATAGAAATACTCATCTTACAGCCTGTGTCAATGGCAGGCACATTGTGCAGACTCCGTGTTGTGCAGCAAAAGGGACTGTCTCGGCGTGAGGGAACAGGCACGGCCAAACCGCAGCCCCCTCGCTGTGTCCCATCGCGGCCGCTGCTGCTGGACCCAGGAGTGACATCCTGAAGGTCGCTGCTCGCTTGATGTAAATGCTGGTGAGGCTGGATGCTATCGATGAAGCTTTTCCAGATATGCACAAAGGACTATTAATAGGAATTTTTCAGCCTGACTGTATGCGAGGTCTCAACTTCCAGCTGCAAAATTATAGGTGTAAGAGAGTATTTAAACACATTTAAGTAAACAGTTTTAGCAGAATCGCTCATTTGGATGACTGGAAGACCGGCGCTGTATAATTACAGGCATAACAGTGTGCAACTCCTGGCGAGGCTGAAAAGGTTGTGTGCATGCGAGATTATTTTCAGAAGTACACTGTGACATTGAAATTAATTTTGTGTGTTGGTGAGTGGAATTGGGGGTATATAAATCCCTAATCACCTGGCAAACAGATTGAAAATCTATCTCTGTGCTTTTCAATATTACTTACCTGTTTGAATATACGAACTAATTTTAGGAGCACAGTTTGCTCACAAATTGTACTCAAAATATGTTTGTGTGCTTACATTTAAAGCATACAGCATTTTTCCTTTTCTTTGGACTGCATTAATTTTTCTGTATGTCAGGATTCTTACATTTCTAAGGGAAAATATTCAAGATACACCAGTTCAGTTGATTTCATTATAGAGATCTTTGGTACTGGAGTTTTCAGGATTTTTTTTCTTCCTAATTATTACTTACGCATCACTGCGTAGCAGCAGACAAGTTTAACTCATTTAACATAAGTGTGCCTACGTGTTAACTTACGTTCCAACTGCAGTAATCTTTGGGGATTTTTTTTAAACACAACTTTGATCTATGCATATATGCATGAGATGTTTAATCTAATACCACCATCGTGCCCCCCGGTGCCTGGCTCACCCAGACCCCCACCCACACTGGGTGTAGGTGTCCATGGAGACCACCAGAGATGTGATTACAGCCTCCCACCCGGGGATGCCGGCTTCAGCAGCATCGCCGACCCAAAGCAATGGCAGCCTTGTTGTACCAAGGAACAGAAAGCACCAAGAAAATGGGGAAGCAAAGGATGGGATTTGCTGTTAGTGGGCTGGAGAGACTCACCTGTAAAGGACAAGCCGGCGTGTGTGGTGGGGTTTTTTTGGATATAGGTAGATGATAAGTACTCCTGCCGCCCCAACATAAACAAACATCAGCAGAGCTACAGGAGTATTTTTTCTGTGGTTTTAAAATTTGGAGTAAAGCCTCAAAGTTGTTTTATTTGCATACAACTTGTTATTAGCCTTAAATATTCCTGATTGATGTGCGCTGAGATTTGCAGGAACTGACTTTGACTCAGTGTTCAAAAATGATGGAAGTGAAAAAAAACCTGACAGTGGGCTGCACAGGGATCAGACAGAGTTTAATGCGCTCGTTTTATGCAATAATAGGAATGGTTTTAAAATGGCTGTGAAATCAAAGGTAGTTCTAAATAATTAATGCCTATGTTTAAAAAGGGATAAATTATGTGGGCAAATACAAGCTTTAGTTTTAATTCCATGGTGTGCATTGTCTTGCCACAAATTTTGAATTAATTAATATTTGTAAGCAAAAAGATAAATAGAAAATGGGTTAGTCTCGCATGGGTTTACAGAAGGTAAATTATAACACGCTGGATTGGACAGCTCATTTTCCAGACCAAGGAAATGCAGCAGATCTGCTGGATCTGTTCTTCACCGAAACATTTCAGTGAGAGGAGCTCTGGAAATTATCTCCTGAGTCAGGAGAAGATGGAGATTGATACAAACTGCTGGGTGGGAAAATGGGTAATGCTGAAGGACAAGATGTCAGGCTGGGGACAGGTCACTACTGGAGTTTCTTAACTGTAAAGTTGCAGCTGGATATTGGTTTTTTTCACTAAATAACTTCTCACAAAAGGTGGGGAATGAACTTGTGGAACATGCTGGGTTGGAAGATGCAGAGAGGGACTTGAAGCATGATTGAAGTACCATGGTTGGAAGAATATCTAATTTTGGGTAATTCATTCAGGTGGAAGGAGAAGGGTTAAACTTCAGAGGAAAGGGGAAGGAGGATACCTTCAACCTTAAAAATGATGATGTGACAATAACTGGTTTATGAATAATTCAGTGTGAAAATTAGAGTTAAAACTTTTTTTTTTAAATGAGATACATCAATCTTGTACCAGAATATTTGCAATCTGGCTGTCTTTAGTCCCTCGCTGCATTTAGTTGCTGTCAGGGCCCTTATTGCCTGTTCCGATGGGTGGGAGGTCAGTAAATTGGAATAATGCTGACCCAAGGGCTGCGGTTCCCACCTGCTCTCCCCCGCAGCAAACGCTGCCGGTGAGTGCTTAGCACAGGGATGCAGAGGTTTGCCAAGGGCAGGTTTTGGTGGGCAGAAAGTCTCAATGTGGCAATCTGGGGTGAGACACTGGCTCTCTTTGTTGTTCTTTTTCTGGGAAGAGAGAATAAAGATGACTAGAAGGACTGTAGGAAAGCAATAATTCATAAAATCGTTGCCATGTTCAGAAAAATCTAGGCGTGTTGGAGGAAAGATACAGTTCATTGAAAAGACCTGATTCCCAAGCTGTAGGATCCCTGGAAATTTTGCTGGCTTAAAAAATATAATGAATGTTAAAATGAAAAAGGCTGCAATAAAATTTAAATGGCAGTTTCTCTCAAAAATTCTTGGAGCATTACATGGAGCAGGCACCAGTGTCAGTAAAAAGCTGCTGGCAGGTATTGAAGACCTGAACTGAGGTGTTGTCTACAAAGAGCTCTTCAATAGCAAAGTAGCAGGGACAATTTTGGTATTCGCTGTAGTTGCAATGAAGAGTGATCAAATGTATTACCATAGTGTATCTTGTCTGTATTGTGAACAGATCTCTGGAATCCCACAATCCTTAACCATTATATGAACTTTTGCAAAGTAGTCATTTTACCATGGAATATTCAGGAAGGTTGATTTGTTTGGGTTTTTTAAATAATATTGAAAAAATAAAAATCCTTTTCTTCTGAACAGGGTGCAGGTTCATCCACATTCCTATGACAACTGTAATAGATGGCAGATTGTACCAAAGACAGCCAAAAATGTGCTGAAAAAAAATGTACAGGAACACACATTTTAAAAAATGGTAGCGTGGGAGGAATTTCCTGCCAGGGAGAGTAGTCGGAGGGGGAGAGCAGGAGCAACCTGGAGGCGGAATGGTGGTCCTTGGGCAGAGACACCGTGGGTTAAAGCACACCTCAAATTGGCTGTGCTCATTACTGTCCAGTCCAGTGGGTTCCTCCCAGGTTGCTTTGTAAGTATATCAGCAGCGTGCGTTTCAGTTCTAACGCACGCTCCCTTTCGGTGCAGTCGCGTGTTCCTTGGCATCCGTCAGCTTGAAGTTTCACCTGAACTGACTAGTTGTCACTGAGCTGCAAAACACAAGATGTTAAACACAAGACTATTTTGATGTTGTCGTTGCTTATCCCAACAGAGTACATCACTTAGCATACTAATGAAATTATGTAAAAGGATTTAGCCCTAATTAAATAAAATCTGCATTAAGTTACTATGGTAACTTACGTCTGTGTCGAGGAGCTCTAATTACAAGACTGTACCAGCATTCCTGTTTAAAACACCCAGTGGTTCTTAAACTCTGTGTTTTATTACCAGGAGATATTGTAAATTTTAGTCCTGCTGGCTGCTTAGGAGGAGACTAAAGCAAAGGGTGGGACAAGCCTAAATAAGGAACTGGGCAGTTGGTAATACCTTTGTTGACACCAAAAATGTCAGTGAACCTTAGTGAAGAGTGAATCCCAGGGAACTGATATTGTCTGGCAGAACAGCAAAGCTTTGTAACCCCATAAGCATCCGATGGAAATCTTTGTTTGCGCCTGTGTTCACCCGGCTGCCTATGTTATGCCTCCAGTTCTGCCAGCTTTTACCTTCAGCCTTCTTTAGTTTCTTCTCCAGTTCTTTTCAGAGCCTGGGAAGATGGGAGATTGCAGAGCAGTGGTTAATACACAAACTGATCTATATCATACCAAGAGTCCAGTGATCTGACAGAAAAATATGTTACTTCATTTAACAACAGGGTATTAAAGTCCAGGATTACTTGAATTTGTTTTTATGCTTGTACAGTCATATTGAAGTCACTGAGCTTACTCAGAGTATAGATTTTGGCTCAAGTAGTGGAAAGGGACAGTTTGCATCTAGAAGTTCATCAAATTCTCTTCTTTGTCTATATTTTTTTTTTTTGAGTTGATCATGGTACTCACCAGCGTATGAACCAGAGAACATACCTTTTGCATCTCTGTCTCACTGCTGTGGTTCTGTGATGTTCAGAGTACCTGTGCTTGCTGCTTTCTATTGCTGTCCATGATATTAACCAAGATCTGCTGTGCCTTTGCTTGGGATGGTCATGAACATGATTCTGCTTTGAAAAACACAAACACACACACATATATATATATATATAAAAAAATAAAAATATATATATATAAAAAAAAGTAAAAATTCTTCTCTGTTTCTTTAAATATTTTGAAACCCTGGAAAATCTAAATACACAGATAACATCCAGACCCTCCACTTAATCCATTATAGGATGACACCTTTCTAAGGTGGCGGTTTCTGTATGTTTATGCTGTGAGAACACAGAACCAGGTGAACCACTCACACGAGCTTTCACGTTGCAGTTAAAGTCTGCACGCTTTCCTTACTATCGAGAGTTGTGCCCCTGCTGTTTCCCTTAAACTCTTGCTTGAAATTCCCTGTTAAACTGTGAGCTGGGGAGATAAATCAGGAGATAGCTGATAACCTGTCTGTCAGAGTCCCTCCTGCTATAAACTCAGCACGTCTTGTATTTGTTTTAGCCAACGTTTTCTGCATATTTCAATTTCAGATCTGGCAGTGCGGCGGCTCCCTTGAGATTGTCACCTGCTCCCATGTTGGCCACGTTTTCCGAAAGGCAACACCTTATACCTTCCCAGGTGGCACGGGACACGTCATCAACAAGAACAACAGGAGACTGGCAGAGGTCTGGATGGATGAGTTTAAGGACTTTTTCTATATAATATCCCCAGGTAAGAAATTATTTTCTGATCATATTACTGTCTGTAAAGCTGTCCGAAAAAAGAAAAGTGTAAATGTAAGGCACGTACAGATAAGTGTAGACATGTATGCATCTATATGCACTGAAAGTTGAGACGTAACAGCAAAGTGCTTTCAAAATCCAAGGAAATGTCCTTTCCATGCATCAAAACCTTCTATATTCTGTTCCCAAGATAAAAATATTAGTTAAGGCTCCTCCTCTCCCAAAGATTGTAAGGGTTTTTTTCAGAACGTTATTCTCATAGTGTTAGTCTGTAAGCAAGTAGGAAAGCTCTTTGACCCATTTAGTCTAAGAAATGCAGAGTTTGGCCAGATTATCCTTATGATCCCTGAAGGTCCCTTCAGAAGGCGTCAACGGGAGGGACAGCAGAGGTGCTCCGGGTCACTGCATGGACAGCAGGAGCCCTTCGGAACACAGGACTCAGTGCCATGAAGTATCTTCACCATGTCCTTCTGTCTCTCACCACTGCTAAGTGTCAGTCCTCAGGAGAAACACTCTCTTTTAAACATACAGATTTCTCTTCTTTTTATTGATTTTCATTTATGTTTCAGTATAGTACACATAGCACATTCAAATTATGTACAGTGTAATCACATATATCACACATGATTATTTGAGGTAAAAACCATATTCCTCTTTGACCTTGCAACAGTTGTTAAGGGTTATATTGTGGGTAAATATTCTGATGAAATAACCCAACGTTGTTATATTAAAGCTGGGGATGTTTTTACCAGAAGGTAACTATGGCCTCCATATGAGTGAGCTTAGTGAAGCAGATACGTTAAAAAGGGAGTGGGACGTGGGGGTTTCGTTACTCTCCATGCAGCTCTCTGAGGTATCCCTCTGAGAAGGACGTGTCCTGTTCAGCTTGGTGCAGAGCTGCCTACCCACGGGGCTCCCTGGGCTGGCCAGAGCCATCGCTTTGGTTTGTACGGACAGTCAACGTGTGCACATGAAGTGTCATCGCATTTTAGTTTATCCTTTTTTTTTCCTCTTTATTTAAGCATCAGTTTACTTCATGCAACTAACTCTTAAATAGATCTTGGTCTTCAGAATAATATGACAACTACCCTCAAGTCTCTTACATGGCAGTTTTCATGTTCTTACTTTCATCATTTAAAATTTACCTGTTCATTTGAAAAATAAGGCTTGGAGACAATTAAATTTTTATCAAACTTAGAGTTTTAAGCAAAACTTTTTTTTTTTACCTGAACAAACACAAGAATCAAAAGCGTTAACGAGTGGCTGTGATCAGGGAAAAAAGAGTATGTACCTTCAGCGCTGGCTCTCTGGTAAAAACTGGTTTGCACCTGTATTTCAAGTAGCCTTTTGGTCACAGCCAACTTCTTAAAGCAGGCATTTTGAGCCAAGCCTTTTCTTTCTATAAATCAGGACCAGTAGTTTTATTTCATTTGATTTGACTGAAGTAAATGAAAAACAAGGTTAATATACTTTATAATGCTATTTTTCTTTTAAAGATTTGTATATAAAATGGAAAACTGTTCTGGGTGGGGATTTTTACTCTAAGCTGTTTTACTGATAGCTCAAAATTATATAGTTAATAAAAACTAAGTTGCTTCAGTTCAAAAGCCAGAATACACCATGTCTCATGTATGAAAGCCAGTTATTTTTCATAGTATTTACAAATTATTCCTTTAAATGTCTGTGGTGGAGTATAGCCATAGACTATGTGAGCTATTGTTACTATTTTATTGTGTGCTCTGGGATAATCTTCCCATTCTTCCATCTTTAAACTTTCTTCCAATTTAAATTCTGTAGCAACAGAATCAGTTTAAATTTTTACAATCACCAAGAAGAAAACCCCGGACCATATTATTATCTGTATGAGTTTGCGTTTCATCTCCAGCACAATTTACTGTTATTATACCTCAGCTCATTCCAGCTGCAAGCCTGCTTGTTTCCACAAGTTGTTTTGGCGCTTTGATTTTTCCAGCGGTTCAGGACATCTCAGTCAATCATCAGGTGCCAACATGTAATCACAAGCTGTGAAGTCGGAAAACTCTTGGTTTCTGCGTGGGTTATCGCACATGTCCTGTGGCTGTCACAGTATGTGCTCATAAAATATTCTGAGTCTATCCTGGAAAACCCTTATCAAGCCAAAAAATTTAAAGCACCATAAAAAAAAGTCTATGCACACCTTAAGTGCCCTGTTAATGGTGTAAAAAAGACATTTATATATCTATACCTTATGTAGCCTAAATATAGATGTATATAAATGTGTATATAACCAAAAGATGCAAGCATGAAACAAATCTTAAAAATAAGTCAACAGACTGATGAAACCCCATCAGTCAGAGGTTTGGGTTGGCACCAGGTGTTTTTGGGAAATGTTCACATGGCTCTGCCTCCCGCTTGGAGGAAGGGCCATTGCAAAACAACCCCATTGACAGGGTCCTCTTAAATATGGAAATTGATTTTTGTGTGGATTGTGTCCCTTTATAATTGGTAATTATATCTACCCCATTAAAGCTGAAGGAATAGGGTGTGTGACAGAAAATTTGGCTGACTGTTTCTAACATAATTGGTTTCTGCTCTCTTGCAAGAGGAAGGGAAAAAAATGGAAAAAATAAATACAATGCTGACAAATGAATGTCTAATATGATGTAAAAGTGAATTTAAAACCCATGTAAGATGCAGTCAAGTTCAAACCATAAATACATCACATGGGATTAGCCATTCTTTAATTCAGTTCTCCCTTATTAAGTTTTTTTTTGTGCAGTCTCATAATGCCAGTTCCCAATGCATTTTTGTTGAACTAAATGCATTTCTAATAATTTACCCTGAAAGCGTACATTTTCTGAAGAGCGTGAGGCATGCAAGTACTAACAATGTATATTCACCGCATAGTGTTATGTGGTGAATACATTGCACTCTGTGCTTTTATATTCTGCCTTGACAGCAAGTTTTTCTAGGCTGATGAGGAGTTAGTTGCTTTAAGGCATTTAGGTGAGCTCAAGCTCTAAAAATATCATACTAAGGGCTATTTAAAATACAATACATTTTAAATGAGGTATTAGTAAAATGCATTTGAAAGTGACTAGAATAGTGATATGCATGGTGGAATCACTTAAAAACTCCAGTTTCAAGAAGAGTGCCAGATGAAATTGCTGGTGTGTAGTTTTCTAAAATGTGTTAATATTTCAGTTAAAAAATGCTCCCAAATTCGTCATGTTTTAATTTTCAAATTCCAAAATGCAACACTCCGAATCCTAGCTAAGAACTTTTTGGGTTTTCTCTCTCTTTCTCTCTTCCATTGCTTTTCATTTTGTTTTGGGATCTTCAAAGCAAGAGTCCTTTTGGTTACAGCAGGACTCCCTCTTAGGCCTTGATTTTTAAATTTTTTTTTTTTTTTACCCTTTTTTCCACAGAATTTCTACTGAGATATTCTGAGTTGTGGGAGTGAGGAATTTAGTGCTGAGCAAAAGGTTAAGTTCAGATGTAGAAATTAAAATAAAAAGGCCATGGGGAAATATATCTGATTTAAGCCTACCTTTGACCAGCTTCCATATTTTTCCAGCACATCTGTAAAACCTGGAGCAAGCCCCCTCACTATGGACTTTCCCTGCTCTGCTCCTTCATTGATTTGACATGTCAGTCATATCTGACTGACATGACTCCAATGCAACAGATTAATTTGGAACCGCCCAATTAAAAGAAAATGAAACTTACGGCAGTAAGAAATACCTATTTCCATCTATCGGAGTGCACACATTGCAGAATGCCGTGTAAATCGAGTGATGAAGTCATACCTCTGCAGATCTAAGTATTTTGAATCTGAGATTTAGTTTTGGAAGTGGATAACGAGAAGCACGTTGGATGACGTAAATCAGGACCTTAGTCTTTTCTGCTGCTGGTTCCAGCCTGGAGCTGTCTGTGTGGTGCTGCTGTCACAGGGCATTATTTGGTGTGACGTCTTCTGTCAAGGTGCTGGGTGGATGGATGGATGGATGCCGTCCAGGTTTGGAGGAGTGGTGAATACTGACGTGTCATCTTCTGAACTGGCCAGTATCCGGAGGTTCAGCTGGGTTGAAAATGCCCTATTTGAAGGTTTGGAAACATGCAGGTGCTTTTGATGGCAGAAGCCATTGTGAAGCTCTGTCTAGAAAAGGTCAGATGAGCACACGTTTTGAAGTTTCCTCATTAGCACTTGTACCTTTGACAGGAGTTACAGATTATTTCCTATTGTATTGGAGAGGAGCTTCTGAAATCACTTTGGATAGTCAGTTTTGCAGCTACCTTTACAATTTCCTAGGTTTCAGCAAGCAGCAGGGGAGGATTTTGTCAGCGACATTTTTTAAGTTGGATGTCCAATATTAGGCTTTCTAGCCTGCATTTCATCAGCTGGTTTCCGAGGTGAGAAGACATCCCTTCTCCCATGGAAGAGACCAGTTCTTGCCGTAGGCCATTTTAATTTAGGCTCCTAAGTACAGATATAAATGCAAGGCTATCTTTAACGAACCATTTTTCAGCAGTCTGACATCCAGTGGGATACCGTGCATTGCAGATACTGCTTTCCACAACGATTCCTTTGGGAAGGAAAAGCTGCTAGTGGAGGCATCGTTTTCCTTCTTCTGCCTGGGGACGAAATTCCTCTTTCAATTTCCCTATCAAAATTTCCCTGGCGTTGCCACAGGGCTGGAGTCCTTTAGCCCTTTCTTTTATACCAGTATGAGGCCAAGGTGGCTCTAAAAATGCAGTCTCCATCCAAAAAGGTGGGAAGATAAGGAGACAGAAATCAAAACCACCCTGCAGTATTTCAGCTCTAGGGGCAGGGCTGTACGGGGTGTGGGAGGGGACATTCCCTCTGCACCCCTAGGGTAGCCGGGTTTGAGCGTGCCTTTGGCTACTGGTGATAAAAACAAGACCACAGTTAGACGAAGCACAAGGGGATTACCTTGCCAGCACTTAAATACCTGTGAATTCTGCTATCTGGGGAGGAAGACAGCTCTG